CATAGCTAAGGAGCACGTCAAGGTGGAGCCTATTTGCAACTGGGATGCGCCCAACTGATAGTTTTCTTTACGGACCTTCAATTGAATTTTCCTTTACGACCTCCTTTTATAAATGATACAAGATCAACTCTCCCTACCATGTCAACTTAAATGAGAAGTGCCAGGTGATATTAAGCCTGTGTCTGGTTTATCTTATGAAAAATCTATTTTTCAGATACATCCTTTTTCCTGCAAATGACTGAAAATTGTCCTTCTTTGTAGCCAAACAGAATTTCACTATATAGAGAAGGCTCAAGAGATAAAGGGTGCGAAGGAGAAGAAGGCATAGGGAAATTACGGAGAGGAAGCAAAATCATGTACAGGAACCTGATCGCCTCAGTGAATGTGAACATTCTAGGGCACATCGTGATCTAAGTCTGAAACATCAACGTGAAAAAAGAATTGGGGTAGAGGAGGATTCGCAGGGGAGTAGAAAGGACTTTAAAAAATTAAACACACTGGGGCTGGGGAGATGGCTCAGTGGAATAAGCACTCCCCTGGCAAGTGCAAGGGTCTGAGTTCAATCCCCGGTTCTGGAAAAAAAATAAAATAAATAAACACATTGTATTATACACATGGATCCACTGGCCAAGGTTATTGTAAACTACAACTCTTCAAATATATACTTATAATACTTTAAAAATAAAAAAGTAAAGATAATAGTGAAAGAATGCAAATTCTGTAGAGTTAGGAAAAAGTGTACTGTCCTGAATTCATTGAATCTTAGTTATCATCAATGCCTTGGAAAGATACATCCACAGCCCAGGCAAAATGAGAAACAAAAGTAAAACTAATGGCCTACTTGTACATTTTCCAGTGAATAATTATTTCATAACATTAAAACAGTTGACAGAAAATATATATATATTTTTCAAATGCTTTATTGTGTTGTGTGTATATCTCCTATACAACAAATAGATAAAATCTATTACATTTCTATTTCTTAGCCTTACATAGACATGATATCCATAATGCATGTAAAAGAATAGCTGTAAATTCATCTACTTTAAAACTGAAATATTCGACGATGACGACAACCAGGAGGAAGAGGAACAAGAACAACAAGAAGAAGAAAATACAAAGAATAAAGAAAAATATATTAACCTGCACTTACCTTTGAACACAATCATGGCTGGTGTGAAGGACTCAAGAGAGAAGAAATTATTATGCAAAATGACTTTCATTATTATCACCAATGTAATCCCTGTTATCTATTGGCTCAATGGAATAAATAAATAAATAAATAAAACAAAAAAAAACCTGAAATATGACATTATTTTAATTTTCTCAGGACCTAAGGAGTATGTCAGTAGTCACTGAGTCTTATAATTTATTTTAATAAATACTTAAAAAGGCAGTTTAATTTGTCCTCATGAATATGAACTGTGACAATGTGCAGAAAGAAGAACATAAACACAGCGAGTCTGATTGGCAATATCTTGGCTAACGACCTTTGTCACTAGGTTGTACACATTTCTGATTCCCACGTGCACCACCAGAGGTTGCTTCAGTAGGCATCTTCCCTGCTCTAATGACCCAGTGTCCTACAGAGGAAAGTACTGCCCTTAACTGTTCCATGTTTGCTGATGAGGGATGAGACCTTCTTCTAATGTTCAACAGAACTCAAACTCAGTAGTCGAAAATCCCACTTTCCTAAAATATCACACTACTTTTTCAGTTAAAAGCATCTTATTGTAGGGAAAACCAGCACTGAGAGATAATTTTAAGCCAAATTTTCAAGATTCCAAGGATTGTGCTGCTATATACAAGCAATTACCTGAAAAATCTATTCTCTTCACCATACTCTCTAATGAGAAAAAAGGAGAGGGGATCCAGTTATTCAAACTCTGATTTTATCTTATTTTATTATTTATTTATTTATTTATTTATTTATTTACTTTTTGCTCCGAATGCCTTCAAGGCAGGTTTGGCTGGCTTGAGTTCTGGGGATCAAACCACAGCAACCTGCGCCTGACTGCTTTGTTGAAGCAGCCACTTAAAGAACTGAGCTAAGGGGCAGGCCCCCCAAATGCTGATTTTGATCCATTGATCTTTTGTTACTCTTGTTGCCATTATTGTTGTTATTTTCTCAGCAAAGCTAGGGATTCATGGCCTGGGCTTCATGGGATGCTCTATCTCCAGTCCTCTTTCTTGTTTCAAACCATACTTTCCTGAGGTAACCTCTCATATGACTTTCAGATAAATTCATGTACATACACATTCTGCCTGCAAGAGCAAATATTACCGGACAACTCTTGTTCCTAAGAAAGGCCACTGCTGGACTGGAAATCATCGAGATAATTTCCAGGCCACCCAGATCCAAAAACAATTCCCCATATGCTATTTGGACTTCTTCTTAATTTTCTTTCTTTCTTTCTTTCTTTCTTTCTTTCTTTCTTTCTTTCTTTCTTTCTTTCTTTCTTTCTTTCTTTCTTTTTTCTTTTTTTTTTTTTTGGCAGAACCGGGGATTGAACTCAGACCCTTGTGCCTGCCAGGGAGGCTCTTATTCCACTGAGCCATGTCCCCAGCCCCTCTTCTTAATTTTCATGTTGCATTTTTCAGTATGTGAATCAATTTTACTTTTGAGAAGTCAAAACAACTTTAATATGATGTCCTAATGTATTAATATTATGTTGAATTCAATTTTATGGTAATTTTAAATTCTGGCACTTTTGTCCGAAAGGAAAGCTGCCCAGTCTGTGTTCCATGAAATAACTTAGGACAAAGTGGTTCCTAGGTGCAGATCTTTTGAAATCAAATGACATTTAATAAAAGTCAGTAACATTAGTCTTCTTTTATATATATTTCCAGGCTTTGAGACATTAATCTCCTAGATATTACTAGGAAACTAATCTTGACCTATGTTAGCTGTTTAATCCTTGATGTAAGTGAGGAAACTTTGGGCCTCACTGATTGCAATTGAGAGTGACAGCAATCAACATAGTTTAATGTTGCACATCTGTAATTCCAGGTAATAGGATTACATTACTAATATTCTTATATACATACATGTATTCACTATATCAGTTTGTATTCTAATTCAAAGATAAATACCCTCTTAATGTGATTATCTTATTTGTACCTATTGGGAAATATATTGGACTTTTTTATTTCTATTTTTTTAGATTAAAAACACACGCATTTTTTATTTTTAATTTTTTTTTCAAATTGGTAGGACAGTTTCAATAATTAACACATTGTATACATTCTTCCTAGTGGTTAATTGCTGTACAAGATGTGGACATGATATCCTTTTTACAAACACCATTAGAACAAATCCTTCTATTCATTAAGAGAATGAAACTATATATCTATCCTAACCACTTTGAATATACAGATACAAAATGGACATTCATCTGTATACCCTTTTTTTGTTAAGTTCTGTTCTTTGAATATTATAGGTGTGTAAACTCAGCAAAATATTCTAAAAGAGTCCAGTAGCCATAATAGTATTGGGTCTTCCGCTTGACTGGCAATGTCAGAAATTGTTGGCCTGAGTCCCCTACAGCTCAACCTAACATGGCTTTACTTCCTATATTTCATCTTCATACTTTTCTACTGGATGGTTAAGACCAAGGTAAAGCAGGACCTATGCAACAAGAGTTGTAGCTTTTGGGTCTGA